TTCTAACCCTCCTGATAAAGACTCTCAGTTTCAAAATAAGCAAGTGGTAAAACAACATACAACTGGACAAAAATAACACCCGGCTCTGCGCTCACACAGCAATTCTTTTGACCAATCACAATGTTAGAGAAGCATTGTTATAATTGTTAACATGGCCAGAAGAAACCAGGCAATAGTGATGCCATCAGTGCCTAATACAGCAGCCAGGGGGCACCGGCAGTGCAGGGCACAGTAGCCAGGGGGCACTGGCAGTGCAGGGCACAGTAGCCAGGGGGCACTGGCAGTGCAGGGCACAGTAGCCAGGGGGCACTGGCAGTGCAGGGCACAGTAGCCAGGGGGCACTGGCAGTGCAGGGCACAGTAGCAGGGGGCACTGGCAGTGCAGGGCACAGTAGGCAGGGGGCACTGGCAGTGCAGGGCACAGTAGCCAGGGGGCACTGGCAGTGCAGGGCACAGTAGCCAGGGGGCACTGGCAGTGCAGGGCACAGTAGGTAGGGGGCACTGGCAGTGCAGGGCACAGTAGCCAGGGGGCACTGGCAGTGCAGGGCACAGTAGGTAGGGGGCACTGGCAGTGCAGGGCACAGTAGCCAGGGGGCACTGGCAGTGCAGGGCACTGCTGCCTCATGTATTCTGCCCACAAGTCACAGCAGTTATACAGATAGCAGAGACACACATTGACCTCAGATCTTATGAGAACAAGGTTGGTTTGTAAGCAGCATTCGATTTGCCTCCCAGTGCAGATACTAAAATATAAACAAAAGAACATTAATTATTGTTTTGCCTTTTTACATATACCCATGAAGGCCATGTGATTTAGGAACTTTGTATAAGATAATTTCTATATTAATTTTGAATGCTTAAGCTATAGGAAACAAGTCAGAGGTGCCAGGAATCACTCGCTTTCAGTTTGCCCACAAACTATTTAGTTTCCTGAACACTGTCTCCAGTGTGAAAGGCAATAATCCACATTGGTTTGGAGACTGGACAATGCAGTATAAATATAAATCTGCCCCCTGTAAAATATATCATTATATTACTGGGGGATGGGGTGAAGAAGAATAGATTAATTCCATTTGATTCTATCTTCATAGAGAAAAAATATTTTAGACTTGGAAACAAATCAACCAATAATTAGCTTAACACAGTCTTGCAGAAATCATCTTATATATGACAATCTAAAGAAAAATAATCAGGTTTGTCTCAAAGCAAAAAGCCGCATGCAAATTAAACAGATATGGATAGCACCCATAGCCAAACAAACACCAGGGTACGTCTTGTTGCAAGCAGAAAGGGACAAACACACCACTGACACAAGCACCGCACAAACACGCATGGGCGCACGCACCACACAAACGCACGCACGCACCACACGCACGCACCACACACACACACACACCCCCGCCACACCAAGGCGCCCGCCACATACAGCTGGTGTACACAAACATGGATACTGTCAATCACTATAAACCAAACAGGCTTGTGTATATGCACCTGAAGACACATGTACAACAACATAGACGTGTGTGAATAAACACACATGTATGACAGCTTAAACATTAAAGGCAGCACACACATGTGCATCCACAGGCATGTAAAACAGCATACACTTGCACATGAACATACATGTAAAGCATACTTGTGTGTGTATGAATACACAGATACGAGACATTACGCACAGGTATGAAAGCATACACCTGTGTTCATGATCACACATGATGAACATACACAAGCAGCGTCTCGTTTTCAGAGCACAGACATAGTAACACAATGTCAGGAAGTATCTATCTCAATGCAATTGCAGATGCACTCAAAAACAGCAGAAAGTTTTAAATGAGCCTGTAAATATTTTAATATTTAGTGCAAGTTACGTCATGTACCGTATTATTCATTTGATCTTCAGTTTCTTCATTAGGAACAATTAGAAATCACACAAGTTTGCTTGAATATGTAATTTTTTTTAAACAATGATTTTAGTTACAAGCGACTCCAGGGGAGCATGGCCAGTTTATAATGCATTTCTGTTTTGGATTGAGTGCACAGTTGGAGATTTGGGTCTTCATCTCTTAACAGCAGATTCATGGATTGTGAGCTAGATTTGCCATCGACAGATGAATTCAGTAATTGACATCACATGGAGCCTCGTTTTAATACATTTTCAACAAGATTAATTCTGTGTGGTGCATTCCTGTTAAGAATGGGTACGATTGAGGGGATACCAACATTTATGTTGATGCCCACCCCAGCATGTTTATTGTTGCTTTTCTCTGCTCACAATCCCAATATTCAATTTCATAATTAATAAGGAAAACTTAAGATTTTCAAGCCTATCCAAATCTTTTGCCCAATTTTCTGTTACAAACATTGTACACTAAGGGAAAGCTTTTAATAAAGCAGAACAATCAGGGAAAAAAGGACCACTCCATATTTTTCACTGAAAGCAATGAAAAGATCATTCTAACATTCAAATGGGCACCACATTGGTAAAGATTAGAGTTCTAAACTCTGGAGATTAAAGTACATCACCCAAGGCACTGAAGTCTGCTGTCCAGGTGCACTTCATCCAGTGAGCACTGAAGGACTGCCAATGGATCCAGAAACTGCTGCATCAAGATGCAGTTGTGACTGAGACTGCAGTAATGAACAGTCACATCTGTGTGCAGCAGGGGGTGTAAACAACAACAACAACAAGATTCCATTTATAGAGCGCCTTTCACGTCGGGAGGATGTCCCAAGGCGCTGCCTTGTGTAAAGGAAACCATTGCAGGACCATTGCAGTGCACAACACATCTTCATGTCTCTGCTGCCTCCAGTAAAAGGCCCAACAGGCACTCACAACCACACTTCTACAGCGTGCATTGATACAGCGCCTTCACACAGGTTGTGTCTCAGAGCTTCACACCGGTGGACTCTGGCCCTGAGTCAGGGGGAGAGGGAGGGGGGAGGTGACTGTAAGCACGATCAAAAAGGAAGGTCTTCAGTGAAATTGGATGGTGGTGAGGGAGAGGGCCAAACAGGCGGCCCGGAGCCAGCCGAGCGGAGGTAACAGGTGGGGGAGTGGGGGGTACGCAGGTCGGAGAGGCAGGGCGGTGCGAGGGCATTGAGGGATTTGAAAACGAGTGAGAGGATCTTGAAATCCATCCGTTCGGTGATTGGGAGCCAGTGCAGCCTGGCAAGGACTGTGTGATGGGGGGACGGAGTTTCATGCGGGTGAGTATCCGGGCGGCAGAGTTTTGAATGAGTTGTATTTTGTGTATAGTGGCGCTGGGGAGACCAGCGAGGAGGGCATTGGAATAGTCCAGCCAGGAAGTGATGAAGGCATGGACGAAGGTTTCAGCTGCGTCGTTTGTGAGGTACGAAGAGAGGTGGGCAATGTGACAGAGGTGGGAAAAGGCAATCCCGGTCAGGGAATGGATGTGGTAGAAAGGAAAGCTGGGGGCAAAGGAGTGTAGGTTGGGGTCTGTGGTAGGAGCCATGGAGCCAGTGATGGAGAGAGAATGGATGGTGGGGCAGGAGGAGATCTATCTTGGAGATAAGGAAATCCAAGATCGCTTCACACTTGGCACTTGATGTTAAGATTGAAGGGGTTTGATGGGGCGCGCGGAGTAGGTAGTGGAGGACAGGATTCTGGAGTTGCTTTTGGCCTCCAAAATGATCTGCGATTAGAATGCAATTATGGCTTGGGAGAGGGAGCGGGTGTTGGTGTGAAGATGCATAAGCCACAGTTGCCGGTGAACCGTGAAGCTTGTTTTGTGCCATCTGCGCTCGAGCAGCCGGGTTTGGAACTTGAGGGAGCAGAGATGACTGTTGTACCAGGGAGAGCGGGTCGGTTTGGAGATGGTCCTGGATTTCAGGGGGACGAGAAATTAAAGGTGAAGGAGAGGCAATCGTTTAGTTTAGCTTTTGACAGCTGCATCAGGATCGCTGCGGATGGAAGGACAGAGGGAGAGAAGGTCCGGGGATGAGAGTGCGTTTGTGAGGGACTTGGGCAGAAGTTTGTCCCATGGGCGAAAAAGATGGTGGAGGGCTTGGGAGAAACGCGCACAGCAGTGTCCCACAGACATTTGTGGATTGAGTGACCAATTTATTATTATTATTACTGAGGAATTATTTCCCCCAGAAAAGCGATCCACCAATCGACTAACATCCAGGTTCCTACTTACAGCTAAGTAAACAGAGGCGTGTGGAATAAGGAAACTTGCCCAAGGTTTCGCCCGGTCTGGAATCGAACCCAGGTCTCTCGCTTGCAAGGCGAGCACTCTAACCACTGAGCTACAGGACTCCACAGGCGTTCTTAAAAGTAGAATGGCTTGACACCGAGTCTGAAACGGGGAAGGTAACCAAAAGCACTATTGAAGAGGAAAGTCTTCAGATGTGATTTGAAGATGCGCAAAGTGGGGTAAGGGGTTGAGGCAGGGGGTTCTAGAAATTCGAGCAAAGTGGCTGAAAGCACAGCCACCAATGGTGGAGCAGAGTGGACGAAGGGACATGCAGAATAGTCGAGCCGCTGAGTGAAGGCAGATCGGAGAGACAGGTAGGTGCCAGGGCATGAGGTGATTTGAAGGTGATAGTGAGGATCTTGAAATCACTACGCAGTGATTTCACAATTCAGTTAGTTTCATTTCTTTCCTGCCTTAGAAACAGAGGGAGGTGCAGCTTTGGTGAGGATTCTGTCTGCTTCCCAAGATGTTACCTATCACTGCAGCTCTGGGTTCGTGCCTCTGGGACGCTACCCTGTGTGAAGGGCGCTATATAAATTCAAGTTGTTGCTTTGGATAAAGCAACGAACGAGTTTGGCAGTACAATCCTAAAAGTCCCGTATGTTGCAAAAGGCTCTGAACCCTCCAGGTGCAGGAAAAATGTACGTGGCTTCAGATCTCTACATCTTTAGATATACCTATTCTGTATAAGGATTTTAGATCTCCATCAGACCAGGTAAAGCTCCAGAAGGTCCTGGAATATGAAATACCTGCCTCTCTACTACTTTAGAGAACAAGTACTCACCAGCACTGGGAGCCTGGCCATGAATCAGGGTCGGAGGTTTCAGTCGAAAGCCAACGTTCTTTTCGTCTAAACAGAGAGGAAACCAGGGAGTAAGTCAGTCTGCAGCGATTAATGAAATGGACACACCAAATTCAGCAGCACAGCTGGACCAATCATCCCTCTCCTGTCCCCAGTTCAAGTTCCTGATGTATTCAAAATTCTGGACACCTACCCTCTCTCTGTGGGACCTGTACGTGAGTACCTCAAATCATAGAAGCCCGCAGAGGAGGCCACAGCTGGAACATCTGTCTCTCCAGAGACTGGAGATTGGATGAGAAGGCAAGACGAAAATCAACATAGAAGCGAATGACAAAAGCAAAGACGTTTTACTACGGACTGTAAAACTTACCTGGTTCGGAGTCAGAGTTGCTAGCTGCTGCTTGGCAGAAACTTGATGGCATAAACACATTATTCTTTGGAACTGCAAGATAAAAACAAGTGTCAGTAGTAGGCACAGCAATTCCACCCTGAAGGTGCGATATTACAGTCAGTGATTAAGAATGCAAGGATCAATACCTTGGATATAGGGCACTGGCCCCACCCCTCTCTTCTCCACCCCCAAACTGAAAGGAAAGAATAAACGGTAAGGGCTTCTTCTCAGACTTGCAAGAGGTAGGAAGTGGTGTTCTGATAGAAGCCCGTGTTAGGACCGCTACTCTTCACCATATACGTAAAATGATATCAATTCAGGTATAGGAGGTGTGGTGTCGACATTTACAGATAATAAGAATAATCTTTGCATTTGATATGGCACCTTATCACATAGCACAGCAGTGTCCCACAAACAGTCATGGATTGAGTGACCAACTTATTTTTTTTTGGAAGAATTATTACCCCCGGAAAAGCGATCTGCCAATCGACTAACAACTGGATTCCTACTTACTGCTTGGTAAACAGAGGCGTTTGGAATAAGGAAACTTACACAACATTTGGCCCTGCCGGGAATCAAGCGCAGGTCTCTTGCTTGCGAGGCAAGTGCTCTAACCACTGAGCTACAGGACACCAAACTGGGTTGGGCATCGTAAATAGTAGAGGAATGTCGAAAGACATAAGCAGGCTAGCGGAATGGGCTGACAGATGTTTAACATGGGTAAATACAAAATAATTCTCTTCTGCGGAAAAAAATAAAGAAGCCTATAGTGTAGATGAGCGTGGTCCAACAGGCGGCCCACAGGTCACAGCTGGCCAGCCGGTTGATTTTACTGGCCCTCAAACCATTTTCTACTTCACTGCTTTACCTCTCTTCTGGTCGGACTCCACGAGGCAGCGCAGAGAGTGACAGGAAGAGAGGCAGAGCGGGAGACACTTTCCTGCTCCACACTTCTCCGTCACCTCTCCAGTGTAACTGGTGAGGCACAGCCATCATCAGTAGAAGTATTTTGCAATTCAAAAACTATAGAACTATGAGTCTCAATAGGAAACAGAAGATGTGGAAAATAGAGGATTTCAGTGCAAGTGGGAAGTGGATTACATGTTTATTAAAATTAATGGAAAATATCAGTGCCTTGTTTGCTTGCAAGTTTTGTTGAAGGAGCTCAGAGTTTGCAATTACGGTATTAATGTGTTTGGGTTTTGTGGAGCATTCTCTGTAGGGGCCTCCATGCTGAGTTGTGCTTTGACATTAAAACATTAAAACAATTTCATGCCATATACTATTTGAGATGAGTCACACAATTTGAAGCATAAGATTTCTGTATGATTATTTTATGTTTCTGGAAGGGAAAAACAAAAATATTGCTTATGCGTTTCTCAAATTTTTCAGACCTCAACACCCAAACGGTTGGACCCCTGTGGTCTAGATGATAAGAACCTAAGAGTGGAAGAGCAAAGACATCTGGGGATTCAGATCCACAAATCTCTAAAAGTAGCTACACAAGTAGATAAAGCTATAAAACAGCCAAGTCTTGGCCTTATATCCAGAGGGATTGAATATAAAACTGAGAAGTTATTGCTGAATTTGTACAAAACCTTGGTTAGACTACATTTGGAGTATTGTGTCCGGTTCTGGTCTTCCCATCTCTTGCCAGTCAGAAAAAAAGCCCTTCAAGCCCTATAAGGATAAAGCAGCGATGGTGGGAGGACAGTACAGGGTTACTAGCATGATACCAGAGCTGGCAGGTGGCAGCGTGATTATCCTTTGGATAATCCTATCCAGCCCAAGCCCACCTCCAACCGCGGGCCAGCCACTCCCTCCCTCACTCCCCGGCAAACGTCCTCTCATGGCAACAGCCGGAATCGGCGGTTGGGAGGACACAGTGAGGGAAGTGTGAATAATGCCGTCTGTTACTGCAGTGTCTTGCACAACCAGGAGAGTGTCCGTTTTCACTGGCAGAGCCACATGGTCTGTGCAAGAGGGAGGGAGGGGAGATTGATTGAGAGAGGGGTAGAGGGTAGGGAGAGTGTATGGGAGAGAGGATGTGACAGAGGGTAAGTGAGAGAGAGTAATTGAGAGAGGGAGGGAAGAGTGAGTGAGAGACAGACAGAGAGAGATGGGGGGAGAGAGATGAACAAAGGGTGATAGGGAGCACAGAGAGATAGAGAGAAGTGAGGACAGTGTTCGTTGTCAGGATGGATGTCGGAGCCTGGAAGGGCAGAGCAGTCACTGGGGGCAAGGAGTCATCCCACCTCAGCTCCTATTAACTCTACAAGTCAAAGCCCTAATGGGTATGGTGATCCTAGCTGGGCAAGCAATGGGAAAGCTTGCCAGACAGTGATATCAATGGCTGTCTGGCAATCACGCTCCCCTCTTTCAATCACTCTCTCGCACACACTCCCTCTTCCCTCTCTCCTCTGCGGTTTTAGCTGGTTAGATTCCAGCAGTTCCCCCAACGCACACTCTGGGATTGTCAAGCCTTGGCACTTGTCAACCTGTGCCTAATACTTTCTGGAATAGTTAAGCAAGATGCGTCACTCCAGGTAGAGAGAGCGCATTCATTCCAACAATCTATCTCCGGATGTCCATGTGTAGGTCGGATGCATGGAATTCTCAGCTGGATTGGGATACTCAAGCATGATGATGGGTTTCTGTATATATCAGACACCTGACTGACCAAAGAAAGAGTACTGTGGCCCGCCTCGCTCAGGAACTGGACTAGAGACCGCTCAGAGGGCTGACTCAATTCCAACATTCCGTTGCCAAGCATGTAACCCTAGAGCCAGTTCAGCTCCAAGAAGACCCAGCTTACCTCTCCCCCTCCCCTCCAGCAGGAAGATAGTTGGTCATTTGGCATCCAACAAGAGCAGGTTTGAATTCTCACTCGGTGGATGGCAACTACAGAAACTCCCTGCGAGCTTCCTGGTGGGCAACAAAGCTCAGCACAAAATGCGTAAGAGCATTGCCACCATTTTCATATCCACAGCTCGGACATCACTTCCCACTGATTGATGGTTCCACCAGTTGGAGGTGCAGAGATTGAGCAAAAGCTGCTTACATCTCCGCAAACCAGTTAAGGCAGATTCCAAGCCCTGGATGTATGAACTTAGCAGCTTGAACCCAGAGCCTTTTGGCTCAGAGTCCAGAGTGATATCATCTGAGCCAGAGTGACACACAAAGTGGTACACAGGAATGTCAGAAATTAATATTTAATAAATGGGGAAACAATGTATTAATGGGGTTCTTTAACCAATCTGACATAAGACTGGAATGAGATTAAGCATAGTCAAAATAGGGAGAGGGTTCATAGAAACTATTATGTACGATCTTAAAATTCACAACAAAATGTCTTATAGGCTAACAACAGAATTTCTGGCTGTAAGTCAAGACCTGACCTAAGCGGACAATCAGTCCTCAGAACAACACCAAAAGAGAAGCAATTTGTTTTGGAAAGCTTATGGCAAACCCACTGTCATGCTTAGGAGTATCCGAACTAGGCAAGAGTTCAACATACTATAATAACAAATAATTCTTGTATTTCATCAGAGCACACATAACTGTGGAAAATTCTTAAATTCAGTCATTCATACAGCACCTTTGTAACGTACAAGGCACTCTCTGACATGGTACACACTGGTTATTTGTGGAGGCCTGTAGTTTAGTGGTTAGAGCACTCGCCTCGCAAGCGAGAGGACCTTATTTGAACGACCAGATAGGGTGAAACCTTAGGCAAGTTTCCTTACTTCATAAATCTCTGTTCACCGAGCAGTAAGTAGGAACCCAGCTGTTAGTCAATTGGCAGATCACTTTTCCAGGAGTTATAATCCATTTTTTTTTAAAAAAGAATAATTTGGTTACTCAATCCATTACTGTTTGTGTAACGCTGCTGTGCGCAATTGGCTGCCACGTTTCACCCACAAAATATGCAGTCAATTCACTTTACACTATATCCTGCGAAGCGCTTTGAGACGTCTCGAAGACATGATGAGGCGCTATATCAAATGCCAGATTTATTATTATTATGAAAACCCGTTTTCTGTTGTTCTTAAAAATAATTGGCTTCCATGTCTCCTAATGTTTTCACTGCTTTACGTGCTCATCAAGTTCACTTTTGAATCGTTTGATTTATTCACAGCCTCAACAACCACTTGTAGTTTCCATCCTCTCCTCATTTTGACAGTGATTGGTCTCATTCCTGTCTGTGGCAGTTGATTAAACAACCGGTGCAACCTTGGTATCCAGTTAGGTTTCCAGCTTTCTTTTCTCCCTTACATCCAGCCCCCCACACCCCACCAACACTATATGTATACAGCGACTCTATCTCTCTGATAATAAATGTCTGTAAATTTTTTGCAAATTACATCTTATTGTCGTTGAGGATCATTTTTGCGGTTGAAAGTTTATTAACTTGACCCCATGACCTGAATACGGGTGTGACCTTCATGCACTGTTCAGCGACTGTGAGGATGTTATCCCAACGTGAGGCCCTACAAAAATGCTGCTGTTGTTGTTATTGTGAGGAGATTCTCAAGCTGTTTGTTCTCATCACACAGTACAGAGGAGACACTGACAGTGAGCATGTCTGAGGGCAACAGAGCTCGCCCAAATCCACTAATCTGCTAGTTACTGGTCAGGGTTAATGACTGTCTCCAGGCTTTGGGTAACTACTCTGCAATATTTCTTGACAACAAAGCTTTTCAGGATGAATCCAGAAAAGTCTTAGGTAATGTTAAAGGCACCACTAGAATTCTTTGATAATCTTAACTCAAAGACTTAACTACAATAAACATCCAACAAATACAACAACTTGCACTTATATAGTGCCTTCCACGCCTGGTAGCGTCTCAGGGGGCTTAGATAAACTCAAGATGCTACACAGCCATTTAAAGTTCCACAACTGTACCCAGAAGGCTAGAGTAATAGAAGCACAAATTGCATTTCTGCAGGGAATCCCAATTGTGAGGTTCATAACCAGAAAAGTCCTTTTAGCATCATTTGGTTTGTAAAAGGAGCCAGTATCACATGCACCAACAAGAAGAGCATACCTGGCTGTGAAGGTGGGAACACCTGTGTGAAAGACGACGATCTTTCACGTTTAACTGGAGGAGAGTAATTTCCATCATCTCGGTCAGAATCTGAGACAAGAAAAGCAGATTGTGTGTAAAGGAAAACACGTTAATCATATTATCAAGGCTGACAGCATCACCCTTCATGGTTGCACTCCAGACCTCATGGAGCTAATACAGAAACTCGGCGTTCTGTTCAACTTTCATCTAGCCTTCATACCCCACATCCGTGCCATGACCCGCTCCGCCTTTCCCCACCTCCACAACATCGTCCGGCTCCGCCACTGTCTCACACCGCAGGCCACTGAGACCCTCATCCACGCATTTATCACATCCAGGCTCGACTACACAAACTCAATGCTGGTCACCCTCCCCAACTCCTCCCTCCACAGGCTGCAGAACAACCAGAACTCTGCATCCTGAGATCTCTCCAGCACCAGGCTCCACGACCCAAACACCCCATCCTCGCCCAGCTCCACTAGCTTCCCATCACTCAGAGGATAAAGTTCAAGATCATGGTCCTCAAGTTCAAAGCCCTCCACAGCCTTGCTCCTCCCTACCAATGTGACCTACTAACCTCCTACCAACCTGTCCGCTCCCTTCGCTCAGCGGGCTCCAGCCTGCTTCACGTCTTCCGCCTTTCTCACCCCACCATTGGTGGGCAGACCTTCAGCCTCTCTGCTCCCATTCTCTGGAACTCCATCCCACAGTCCCTCTGCCAAGCCCTCTCCCTTCTTCAAGATCTGTCTCAAGACCATACTCTTCGACCGTGACTTCAGTCACCTTCTTACCCCTACCCCCTCCCCATCCTCCATCCCTCCTGATCCCAACCACCAACCCGGGGGCAGATCCCTGATTGCCCAGTGTCTTGGAATGTCCTCCTGCCATGAAAGGTGCTATACAAATGTAATTTTTTGTTGCTATTATTATTGTTGCATGTAAAGGAGATCATCATAGAATCATAGAATTATACCGCACAGAAGGAGGCCATTCGGCCCATCGTGTCTGTGCCAGCTCTTTGAAAACAGCTTCCAAATCAATCCCATTCCCCAGCGCTCTCTCCATAGCCCTGATCAACCCCATTCTCTCCCCATAGCCCTGATCAACCCCACTCTCTCCCCATAGCCCTGCAAGCTTGTCCTCCCCTAATAATTATCTACTTCTCTCTTAAAAGTTGTTATTGAATCAGCTTCCACCGGCCTTTCAGGCAACGCATTCCAGATCCCAACAACTCGCTGTATGAAAACGTTTCTCCTCACCTCCCCCCAGTTTCTTTTAAATAACTATTTTAAATCAGTGTCCTCGGGTTAATGACCCACCCGCCAGTGGGAATAGTTTCTCCTTGTTCACCCTATCGAATCCACTCATAATTATGAAAACCACTATTAAGTCTCCTCTTAACTCTCTCCAATGCCTTGACATCCTTCTTAAAGTGTGGGGCCCAGAACTGAACACAGTCTCTCGCTGAGGCCTCACCAGTGTTTTATATAAAGGTTCATCATAACCTCCTGGCTTTTGTATTCTATGCCCCTATTTATAAAGCCTTGTATCCCGGATGCTTTTTAACAACTTTATCTGCCTGTCCGGCCACCTTCAAAGATTTACTATATGACCCCCAGGTCTCTCTGTTCCTTCACCCCCTTTAAGATTGTACCATCAGCTTATATTGCCTCTCCTCACTCTTATCCCAAAATGCATCACTACCGCAAACATGCAAAGTGCTAACATGTTCGCAAGTGAAAGCGATAGAATATCAGATTAATTCAACTTGAACACACTCACCTTCACCTTCTTCAGGACTGGAAGCGTCCACTGGTCTCTAAAAGACAAAAAAAAATAAGATTTACTAGCTGTCATTACCAATCGTTCATGTTAAACCAACTGCCTAAAAACTAAAATACAAAGAATCACATTGTGGAAAACCAAAGATGAACTACGTTATGTCATCTTCATTATTAGAACCATAGAAATTTATAACCGGCCATTCAGCCCAAAATATAGAGTCAGGTCTGCTAGCTCTTTTAAAGAGCAATCCATTCAGTGCCATTTACCTGCCTTTTCCCCATACCCTCTAATTTAAATAATAAGTAATAACAATCCTTACATTTCGTATAGCACCTTTCATTTCAGGAGGACATCTCAAACCGCTTCACAAAATAAAGTAAAGTAGAGCGAATGCGTCTTTTGTGGGTGAACGCAGCAGCCAATCTGCCTATAGCAGTATTCTACAAACAGCCATGAAAATCACAAATTTTATTTTGGGGGATCTCTTTGGTGGATGGGATATTTCTGTGCACTATTGACAGCTGTGTTTCGTCAACAAAATATACAGTCAATTCACTTTACAATATATCCTGTGAAGAGCTTTGAGATGTCCCTATGACATGATAAGGCACTACATCAAATGCAAGATTATTATTATGGGATCCTTAACGTCCACCTGAACAGGCAGGTGGGACCTCAGTTTAATGTCTCATCTGAACAGCAGCTCCAACAATGCAGCACACCTCCAGCACTGTCAACATTGGAGTATCAGACTAGAGTACCAACACAGGGCTTTAACACACAATCTTCTGACTCAGACCAACTCATGCCTGACAAACCTTGGCCCCTATCCCCATGTGTCTCAGATTCCAGCACTGTGCATGTAACAAGTCCTCCAATCAGGTTCAGCCCATGTTCTCTGCCACCCTCCACAAGCAGCCAACATTAAGGCCGGCCGGATCAGGAGCCGGGAGGTGTGGAACTAAAGGAGGGTAGGGGAGCAGGATTACAAGTTAGGAGGTGATTAACATGAGTAGTGCTAAGAAATCTAAGTGGTTTTGATTGGAAACTGAATGGGACTCTGCTAAACGTACGACTTAGGCGATTATACGATTGATAAATAATAAAAATAATAATCCTTGCGTTTGATATAGTGCTTTATCACATCCTTGAGACGTCTCAAAGCACTTCACAGCACAAATTGTAAAGTGGATTGACGGTATATTTTGTGGGCAAAACACGGCAGCCAATTGCACACAGTCCCACAGCTAGTCGTGGACTATAAATTATAAATATAAAACTTATGTTAGTTTTACTGCAGTAGTACAGATGTCAGCAGTGTCGGAACAGGTCAGTGGCAACCTGGAGAGCTAATTGGTGGCCTTTTTTTTTGCTTCTCCCAGTTTAACCTAAGGTGTGAAGTTATGGACACCCAGCCACTGCTTTATGAAGGAGTTGGCCTGAAGAATGTATCCCACTAACCATTACATACCTAATGAGTTACCACTTGTTCTAGGGCCTTAGGATACAAGCAAGCAAAAAAGTTTCATGCACATAAAAGTCAAATACTGTAGTGAAAATGTCTTCCCAGCTACAGCTTATGTCAAGGAGGAAAATAATCCTTGCATTCGATATAGTGCTTTTCACGTCAGGAGGACGTCCCAAAATGTGCAGAGTAGGTATCTCCTGGTGTAAATGTAAAGGTGACACTGAATCCAAGACCGAGAAACTACCCAGATGTTACTGATCCTGCAGACCAAGCTATAAAACATCAAGATAAGCACCTTCCAACTGAAGAAGTTGACGTCACAAAACTCATAGGTTCAAAAGAAAGATTTGTGTATGTCAATCTATCTCACGCTGGCAGCGATAAGGTTCAAATTCCATTCCAGTTTTATGAAACTCAAAAAACAAAGGATGCTTTTCCTGAGAACGTGGAATAGCTCCAATGCATCCAATGGAGTAATATAATAATAATCCTTGCATTTGATATGGCGCCTTATCAAGTCTTCGACATCTCAAAGCGCTTCACAGGATATCCTGTAAAGTGAATTGACTGTATATTTTGTGGCCGAAACAGTAGCTAATTGTGCACAGCAGCGTCCCACAAACAATAGTGGATTGAGTGACCAATTGTTATTATCTTTGAAGGAATTATTACCCCGGAAAAGCGATCCACCAATCGACCAACAACCAGGTTCCTGCTAACTGCTAAGTAAACAGACATGTGGAGTAAGGAAGCTTGCCCAAAGTTTCACCCTGCCGGGAATCAAACCCAGGTCTCTCACTTGCGAGGTGAGTGCTCTAACCACTAAGCTACAAGACTACAGATAATAATAATAATAATAATCCTTGCATTTGATATAGCGCTTTTCACGTCGGGAGGACGGCGCAAAGCGCTTCACAGAACACACTGTAAAGTGAATTGACTGTATATTTGTGGGCGAACGCGGCAGCCAATTGCGCACAGCAATGTCCCACAAACAGTCGTAGATTGAAAGTGACCAATTTATTATTGTTTTGGTTTTAGAGGGATTATTATTAGGCTCTGTGTGGAGTAAGGAAACTTGCCCAAGGTTTCGCCCTCTGCCTGGAATTGAACTCAGGTCTCTCACTTGCAAAGCGAGTGCTCTAACCACTGAGCTACAGGACTCCACAAATAGATCCGATAGATTTTTTTGTACATCAGGGTATTGATGGATATGGGGAGAAAGCGGGAAATTGGAATTGAAAGGATTAGTTGAGGTACAGATCCGCCATGATCTAATTAAATGGCGGTATAGGCTCAAAGGGCTGAACGGTCTCCTACGATCGTATACTCCTAGAGCTTCAAGCACCAGCTACACAAAGTGCAAATTGCAATATGAAACTAAGACCACTTAATTGAACAGATTTTTCTGTTTCAACTGTAACTGGTTAAAAGCTGCCATACATGTACCCACACCTGCTGGCAAATCATAAACAATCCTTACATCTGACTCAGCGCCTTCACAGGAGTGAAAGTGTATTTTGTGGGAAAACATGACAGCTAGTTTGTGCACAGCAATGTCCCATAAACAGCCATGAAGTGAGGGTCCAATTTTATTTGGGGGATTGTTGGCCAGGGCACTGGGGGAATCGCCCTTCTCTGTTCAAATAATACTTGCATTTGATATAGCGCCGTATCACGTCTTTGAGACGTCTCAAAGCGCTTCACACGATACACTGCAAAGTGATTTGACTGTATTTTGTGGGCAATTAATTGTGCGATTTTCAGCTTGTCAAGTACCAATTAGTGATCTTAGAATTCCGATTTAGAAAGGAACATAAAGGTAGGGAGCAAAGACCCATACATAGCACCTTACAATTTGTCCAAACATCTCAGTTTCAGAACAGCGTTCGTGCATGCAGATAGATGCCAGCAGTTTTGTACATACTGACAGCTCACAGCAGCTAATACTGTCTCACAAAAAGTTAGGAAGTTAGTTACTTGAGAACAGAGAAATCCAAGCCTGGCAAACCATTGGGATGTGAGCGAAGCTGTTTGTTGTGCATGAAGCTGGGTATAACAGCCTGTCCCTCACAGAATCAAGGGGGAAAGTGAAAACAAAGTGCCGATGATATTTCTGAGATTGGCAGATTATTTTTGTGAATTGGAAGTTTGAGTGACCAATAACACTTTGCGTAGCCTCTCACTTAACCTTATGTTAGTCTGATCTCTGCCAGTGGCTGGTAGCTTCACTTGCTGAGGTCTGGCTAAGCTGTACTACAGCTGAGCTCTGGCATGTTTTGTGCTGCATTGCCCTGTCCCTTTTTCATGTCAATCGTGCTGTTCTGCAGAAGTTCCTGTTCTTTGCTCTGTTACCTTGCTTGATGGTAGTGTAGGTGAGGTCATTGGTTCAAGTCCCTCCTATAAACAGAGCAGCCACGACAGATATTTTAAAAAAACATCAAACAGTGGTTTAAATCAACAACCAATCTTTTCACTGTGATGTACCAAAGAGAAACAAATGCTATAATAAGCAAATACATATTTCACAATTCAGTATTTTTAACCAATAGAAATCTGCACCGGAGCTTGTAAATCTATACTAATAAAACAACAATGTCTGTCTGCACTTCAAGAAGGATCTCAATAATTGATTGACGTAGAGATCTGATTTATACCTCATCAGAAAGGTCTTGCACCTGGGAGTGACAAGGACATTTGTTTTCGGGTATTTCCTATCATTCATGAGTTATGATCTCAAATGTATTTCAGTTTTGCATTTTTCGCTGCAGTTACACCTGATGGCCACCGAGTCAAAGTGGTGCTGTGGCACTGTCGTGGCAGAGCAGCGACTCATGCAGACGTGCACTGCAGGTCCACCTGGTGGCCTGGGTGACCGTGGCTGTGGTATCCAGGGTCACAGAGCACGAACATAGCCAATTAAATGAACCTGAAGAACAAAGAATGATGCGGCTGCACTTCAATGCTGAAAGGACTGCAACAGAGCACCAAAATTAGTTACCCACTCAAAGAACATGGCCAAAAAGAGTCCTTCCACAGGAGTCCTCCCAGATGAGTATAGATAAAAATGAAATGTCTGTCTGTCAATCTACATTGCATATGGATCCTTTGGTTGGAAGCGAAGCTGCAATGGGTACAGCTAGTCTTTTAAAAAAAAGTAGGAACAGTGTAAGGAAATGACAGTAGAGAGATCTGGAAGGAAAGCAAGAAGGATAGCAGGTTGAGAATGGGGAAAATAGAGGAGCAAGGTGGGGAAAAAATAATCAATTGGTAAACAGAGTATCATAAGGCAGGTGAAAGGAGAGAACTTCCCAAAGCACTACACAATCATAGTCAAGTGAGTGGTTCTTTTTGTGGGCAAACAACAGTCATTTTGATCACAACCTGACAAACAGCTACAGCTGGAGGACTGTCGGCCACATTACCAGGAGAAACTTCCTTTTCTTTTCCAAATGAGCCATGGGATCAAATGTAATTCCAAATGACAATAATCCTTACATTTGGTATAAAACCTTCCACATCGGGAGGACGTTCTAATGTATTTCATAGGATTTACTATGTGCTTTCTGGGCAAACCTAGCACATGGCAGCCCAACTGCGCACAGCAACTTCTGACAACAGCCATGAAGTGAATGAACAATTTTATTTGGGGGATTTGTTGGCCAGGTCACCAGGAGAAACTCCCTTCTCTTTTTGAATAGTGCCGTGGATCGTTCATGTCCAGCTGAACAGGCAGACAGGCTTCGGTTTAACATCTCATCCGAAGGACAGCAGCTCTGAGAATGCAACATATCCTCAGCATTGTATTAGAATGTCATCTTAGACTCTGAGTCCCATGTCCCCATGTGGTACTTGAACCCCCAATCTTCTGACTCAGAGTGCTACCAACTGAGCCAGGCTGACACACAAATTATAAATAAGGTCTAACATATTTGGATGTTTAATGCCATTTAAATTATTATATAGTGCAATTGTTAGCTGCTAAGATGGCCAAGGGAAAGATGGGCAGAGCATCAGATCCCACCATTCGGCAGCAAGGCGTTCAATGTTTCTCTGGCACATTCTAATTTAATTCAAGGCTATGACGCTAGAAACATTCCGATATATGTCTAACGGCATTTAAAATTTGAATAATTGTGTAAAAGCCCTAACTACTTGGTAGAAGGTTTTACATTAGAGAAGCAAGCCATTCCTCGGGGGGAGGTGGGGGAGAAGTGGGGTCTCCGGCGGGAGAAGGGAGAGGTAGGGTACATAGTCTCCTCGGAGTGGAGTGGGGGGGGGGGGGGGAGTAGAGGGATCTTCACACAGATAGTTCCATGGAGAAAAGCTTTGGAACAGAATATTGGATTCCTCTGTGGTGATCTCAAAAATCTGGTTCATGAGCCAGGGGGTCCACAGTAACCCAGGGCACTGATAATCACAGCCCGGCCTGCCTGGTTTATTGATAGGACTGAGACACTTGGTGCAGGGATTCTTCCCACTCAGCTCCTGTTAACCCTGCAAGCCAAAACCCTAACAGGTAAGGTGGTCCTAGCTTGACAAGCAGCAAGAAGCTTGTCAGACAGTGCTTTCAATGGCAAGCTATGCAATGTTAGCTGCTTAAAACTCAGCAATTTTACCTACACTCAAGCCTTGGCTCTCACTAACCAGCCTCAAAATACTAACAAAGTCAAACACTTGAGATGTGTGGAGAGACACTGCTTCAATTTGCAACAACAACAACAACAACAAGATTCCATTTATAAAGCGCCTTTCACGTCAGGAGGACGTCCCAAGGCGCTGCACAGTTGGGTCATGACCCGAGCAGGGGGGAAATGGTCAGGGTGAGGGGAGGGAAGGGAGGGACGAGGAGGGGGGAAATGGTCAGGGTGAAGGGAGGGAAGGGAGGGAGCGAGGAGGGGGAAATGGTCAGGGTGAGGGGAGGGAAGGGAGGGAGCGAGGAAGGGGGAAATGGTCAGGGGGAGGGAAGGGAGGGAGCGAGAAGGGGTAAATGGTCAGGGTGAGGGGAGAGTCGAGAGGGGAGCTGAAGGCACGGTCAAAGAGAAAGGTTTTGAGACCGGCCTTGAAGGAGGAGAGGGAGGAGGCGGCGAAGGCACTGGGGGATAGAGTTCCAGAGCCTCGGGCTGAGAGGCTGAAGGCCCGACCACCGATGGTAGGGCGATTGGGGCGGGGGCTGTGGAGCAGACCGGAGCCAGAGGAACGGAGGGTACGGGCAGGTAGATAGGGGGATAGTAGGTCAGAGAGGTAGGAGGGAGCGAGGCCGTGAATGGCCTTATAGGTGAGGATGAGGATCTTGAAATCAATCCTCTGGGGGATGGGGAGCCAGTGGAGGCGAGCGAGGGTGGGAGTGATGTGGTCCCGTAGATACCCGGTGTGCCGTCACCTCAGTAATCTAGCCACCTCACAATTGCGGGCACATTTTCAGTCTCTTTCATTGTCTACGGTAAAAGACAGGCAGTCTATCTGCTTCAGTAAACCGGGCACCTCACTATTCAGAACAACAGTCATTGATTGCGGCCGCTACAGCACCCTCCTCCACTTTAAACACAGTACAAAGCCTGATTGACCTGTACACAGCGTGCTAGGCTTCGGGCTTCTCGCGCTGTTTCCTCTACGCTGCTACTGTGGACGGAATGGGCTCCGGTCGCCCGCGCACAGTGCGGGGAGTGTTGGGATCACAGAAGCGGCGGGAGCAGGGAATCCTTTGCCCGGCGCTCGAGGCCTAACCTGAGCTCCTGCGGCCAATTCTTGGTAAGTGGTATAAAGCATGCCACCACGGAAGGAGTTGTCATTACATGAGAGCGCGGACATAATCTAAAACATTGAGAGCAAAAGTCATAGACAGTTAGCTGTGATCTATGGCATTGGCAGAACGCAAGTTAGATGCCTTCTCAAAAGGAAGGCATGAAAGCTTTTGAAGAAAATCAACAGCTTGATAGAAAACTTGTGTTTGAACTCTCAGTATGAGGACATTGATAAACTGACATGGGAGTGGTTCCAGCATACTCGTGGTCTCAACATGCCTGTGTCTGGCCCCATGATACAGGAGAAAACACTCAGTCCTGTAGTTCAGTGGTTAGAGCACTCGCCTCGCAAGCGAGACATGGGTTCGATTCCTGGCACGACAAAATATTGGGTAAGTTTCTTTACTTCATAGGTTACTTCATAGGAATCCAGTTGTCAGTCGATTGGTGGATCGCTTTTCGGGAGTAATAATAATTCCTTCAAAAAATAATAATAATAAATTGGTCACTCAATCCACGACTGTTTGTGGACGCTGCTGTGCGCAATTGGCTGCCGTGTTTCGCCCACAAAATACACAGTCAATTCACTTTCCAGTATATTCTGTGAAGCACTTTGAGACGTCTCAAAGACGTGTTAAGGCGCTATATCAAATGCAAGGATTATTATTACTTTTCATTTCAGACATAGGGAAATGTCTATATGTAAGTCATACATATGTAGAACTCTTAGTTTGATTTGGATACCCTTAAACATGATGATGTGTTTCCGCATGTGTCAAGACACCTGGCTGACCAAAAAAAGACAGGTAGAGCCATAACTGTGAAGATATATTCTCTAGAATTATATTCTCCAGAATATAGAAGAATTAGAGGTGATCTTAGAGAAACCTATAAGATCATCAAAGGGCAATGATAGAGTGGATAGTGGGAGATTGTTTCCCCGGTTGGAGAAACTAAAACCAGGGGTCACAACCTTAAAATCAGAGGCAGCCCTTTCGCACTGAGTTGAGGAAGAACTTCTTCACTCAAAGGGCAGTGAATGGATGGAACTCACTACCCCAAAGGGCTGTTGACGCTCAGTCCTTGAACATATTCAAGACTGAGATAGATATATTTCTTATTGCAAAAGGGATTAAGGGATATGGGGATAAGGCGGGGTCAGGCTATTAGCTGGAGTTAGATTAGAAGATCAGCCATGATTGAATGGCGGGGCAGGCTCGAAGGGCCAAATGGCCTACTCCTGCTCCTACATGTTGTGTTATGTTACAGGGTGGTAAGCGAAGCGGAGAACAGAAACAGGGCACCTCAGCTCAGCCACTGAAGTAGCTCCAAGCACTTTAGGCATGTAGTGAGACACTGCTTCAACATGGCAATAATAATTGCTCCAAAAAGTCTAAGTGGAATCCAAGTGTAATTCATAGAAACACTGGAGATCGATCAGATGGTTGAAATGGTGAGCGTGAAGATCAGATGGTTGGGAGATAGAATCACTCCTGGGAGCTCGCTGACCCAAGCAATAACATCAAAACCATCTCTCCTAAACAACAACAACAACAACAAGATTCCATTTATAAAGCGCCTTTCACGTCAGGAGGACGTCCCAAGGCGCCGCACAGTTGGGTCATGACCCGAGCAGGGGGAAATGGTCAGGGTGAG